TTCCTTTACATGAAGTTTACTATTCTTCTATTAGTATTTACTGTACTATGTTTAGTTGTTTATATGTTTCTATTTATGACTGTAGGATTGGATGGCATTTGAAACGCTTCATCTCCCACTGTTCTCTGAGCACGGCAGTGTTCACTTTGCAAATACCCAGACTCCTCTAAAATCTAACAACTATGCATTCTGTGAGGTAAGGTGTTCATATATTTGTTTGTGTTGGTCAGTTTATTAGGGGAAACGCAGGAAAACCATGAGATATAATCAAACTAAATACTAACAAATAGCGGCTATTTAGAGACAATTTGTCAGTATCAATGAACCAGAACGCAATAAAGATGAATTAAAAATGGTCTCATGTGGATTAAACTTCATTGTGTTCTGGTTCATTGATACTGACAAACTCTCTCTAAATAGCCGCTATTTGTTAGTATTTAGTTTAATTTTTTCATCGGTTTTCCTGCGTTTGCTCTATTTTCGTAGGGTTATTATTACTATGTTCGCTTGCTTATTCCGACTCGACTCGACCAGTAYTTTAACGWTGAATTRTGCKTCAAAGAATGTCGGACGTTTAAAAAGGAAAGCTCGAAAAATTTGGAGGCTAAATTTTACATTCGTTGCATATGCAATACATATAATTTCGTGACATTTGTTATTCACTTGCTTTTAATGGTTGATGGATTATATTCTTACCTTAAGTATTCGAACTGATTCTCGGTCATTTAGCCAAACTTTAGGACTTAAAATGCCTCAGAAGTAGACTGAGATATTTTAGGGAACAAGTTACTCAATATGTCGGCGATGTGTGAACTCTATTAGACACATGGCCCTCCGTTTCACAATGAGGCAAAAACCACAGGAATCCCATCCTGATGAATTGCATTAAATTTGTTTTGTTATGAAAAAGAAAGTACGTCTTGATATGTGCGATACAATCTTGAAAATGATTATTCAACTAGACATAAATTGAAGATTCTCAAAGATAATATTTAGATCGAAATATTATTGCCAAAGAGGTACTCAAAGATTTGGATTTAAAATTTCTATATTGCATTTGCATTCTCAAAATATTATAGATACTGCATACACTTAGTTTAAATTTTCCATCTCGAATATAACACAATGTTAATAGATTATCTGTCAGGGTCATCACATAATGGGATCCAAAAATCCCATCCCCCCCTCCCTACGCAAAAAAAGAGAAATTTTTCTGATGATCCCATTTAAACATCAAGTCTGATATTTGTCAATTTTTGTCTTACACAGGATGTGAACTTTGCAAGAAACTACACAAGACGACCTTCAGTATTGATAACAGCAACCCATGATACAAGTGTTGGCCTTACTAACCCTACATGCAACGGGATTTCAGCTTGGATTGAGGTTGGTTTCAATCTGTTGTCATTATTTGACGTTTACACTGTAGATATCATAGTCATCTCTTCTATCATTCATACAATTTGTCAAAGACTGTCGATGACCGCTTAAAATAGCTTAATAGCACTTAATAAACTACATATCAAAGAATTGTATGTCATTYGTGCGGGTTCCCTGTGATTTTTAGTTTTGGGCTTCCTTTAGCGAACCCATGCCATATATGGAAACAAACAAAATGGCCGATTGTTGAGAAGTGTTTTCGCTATAAAATCTGCAAGTTTCAGACGATTTCAAGCTTTAAAAGTTGAGAAAATCGAMAAAAACCATTCCTATCGTACTTCCAAATAAGGTAAGATTACCATATATGGCTAAACGAAGGACAACTTTTGTGGGGCAATTCTTTGATATGAGCACCATTGCCCGGCTTATATACTTGCAATCGATGAGATTAAATTAGATTACTCATTATTCTAAAGCGCAATACTTTGTTTATATAAATACATCGTTTCAAYACCAGAYCGTTTTTGTTATTATACAGAATATTACGATGGAAACATTCCGTGTTTGTCTAAAAGAGCTGTACTCGGACCGTTATGATCCTGTCACCCTGCAGTACGTGGTTGTATCAGGTATTTTATTTTGCTCAATAAGAACTACTCATTTAACTAATTGAGACGAGAAGTATTATTTTGGCAACGTTTATTGTTTCGTGAAAACATTCCATACATTGCCAAGGTGAATGCTTTCAAGATGCACTCACATCTAGACTACTACAATTGTTCTTCGTTTTAGATATGTGTGGAAAAGACTGGAACTACTTCAATGGCTTCTGCTACAAGACCACMTCTTCCTGTGYYTCTTGGAATGCAGCTCAGTCCAACTGTCTTGATGTCAACTCCAATCTGACCAGTGTCACCAGCCAAGAAGAAAACACGTACATTCAACATCGTCACGGCGGTGATACAGGATGGATAGGACTACAAGACATTGACAGTGAAGGAAACTTTACCTGGATTGACGGTGCCGATGTTAACTTTACTTACTGGGCGCCAAACCAACCAAACGGTTACCCTGGAGACCAGGATTGCGTTCATACCCTTGGATTACGTCATGACTATCATTGGAATGACGTCACATGTGGGTCTTGCCACGCCTACACGTGCAAACGAGGTACATTTTATTTGTTTCTTAGATTGTGGTACAAGAACATTGTCATTTTATAAGTCCTCGGAGTAGTTTCACGGTAACACCATATATTTTTCACAGTACAGAATTGATCAAAAAACCTTCAGTGTTATCTAATGTCTAATGTTTTCTGTTTCAGATATTGATGAATGTTCTGTTGATTACCACATGTGTGATGTAAATGCACAATGTATCAATACTGATGGTTCGTACACTTGTACTTGTAAATCTGGCTACACTGGCGATGGAAGGAAATGCTCAGGTATTTTATCATCTGTTTTTAAAATTGAAACTGTGTCAATAGTACACAAGTGTTTATGAAGGGAGAGGGAAAATGGAAAGACTTAGATAAAAGTCCACGGAGAAAGAGAGAAAACAAGTTAATGTTCACACGAATTATGGTCTAT